ATAATTTGATTAAAAATTAAGTAAATCTGATAAAAATGAGACTGTGAAAGTTTAAAAATTGAATAAAAATAATATAAAAAAGGTAAAAATTGATTTTAAAATGCTTAAAGTGAAAATATAAATACAAAATTTAGGTTGAATCAAGTTGTGAACTTGAGGATAAAGTTATGTAAGATTTTAAAACTTACAGTTTTGAAGATAGTTCAGTCAGAACACTTGATCTTTGGTTGTTTTCCTGCTGACGTGGAAAGCGCTCCATGCAGGGCTTGTAGAAGCTTGTAGTTTCTCCAACGTTGATTGCGGTTTGTCGCCTTGATCATTGTCTCGATGATGTCAAGTCGAAGGTGGAGAACTTGTCACAGGGTTTGCATCATTCTGCTCGGTTTCCATGACTTGCGGGAATTTCGGGGCTGTCGTTGGCGCGGTCAGCTTGCTCCCGGCGTTGGCGATCGGTGTTAGCGGGTCTGCGGAGATCCCTTGGGGCGGCGTTTCTTCCGTAAATATCTTGGGGAGAGATTGCTTGGACGTTTCGTTGGAATGGTCGGTTTGTTCCTCCATCTTCGCTTGTTCTCGCTTCCTATCTGAACAGGCTTCTTACTTTCTTCGTTGTGTCATCCTTCATTTTGGTCATCCTGTCGACTTCTGTAATAAGATGTTGAAGTTACTGTTGACTCATGTAATGTTGAGATCCTGTTGACTCTTGTAGAATCCTGTCGACTATTGAAATAAGAGATCCTGTCGACTAATGTAATATTGGATGAGATCCTGTTGACTCTTGTAGAATCCTGTCGGCTCATGTAATGAGTTGAGTTTGATGTCGACTACTGAAATAAGTTGAAGTTCTGGTAAGCCTTGTGTAGAGTTTTCCAGTACCTCTCTGCACCTTGGAAGATCTTTAAAAGTTCTCACAAGATACAGGCAGTCGTGGTCGAGGCAGAGTGGAAAGTTTGGGATGTCCACACAAAAAACGAAGACACAATTGCACTAAGAAAGTTCCGTTAACAGATAAAAGTTGAGCCAGGAGCGAAAGATGGAGATAGAAGAGTCCTTACTAGTCTACATGGTGGATGAGGAGGACCTTGGTGACGACCGACGTGAGCTTGCGCTGAGGGTGAACTAAACTGTCAAGTCACTGTAAAGTGACTGTATTTATAGGTTAAGACGGGGGGGCCTTATGTGACAGGGGCCGTTCCTGAGAAAGGGGGCTTTGCATTCCACCACATGTGACGAGTGTGGGTGGTCTGACCCATTTTTAGACCTTGTTGTGGGAATTCTCTATCTCGATTTTGACGTTATGACTTCCATCTCTTGCTTAGCTCAACTCTTAAATCTATTACAGATTTTATTTATTTATCCACTTTGTACAAATTACATTACATATGATGATGTAAAGACACATGTCAATAATACGTATAATCATTAACAGCTGTGTTTCTATTATACAACATTAAAATCTTGTTATAAGTTATATACAAGGGTTGTTGGCTTAAATTACCATATATATATATATAAACATTCCATTTAATTTCCTCAAGTTTGATATGTATACTAAACTCCCAATCTTTTTTATTTAAAACAAACTTCAATAAAAAAGCATGTAGCCCAATGAAATATTGAGATGCAACTGTCAGTGACGAGGTTCTATGTCATGCCACTTCAGCGGTAACAACCAACCTAATCAAGGACTAAAAACGCAAATTCCAGTTCTACCCTCAGCCTTGTAAACTAGACTGGGAACCCTGTAGTCGAGGTAGCGTGGCCGAGCGGTCTAAGGCGCTGGTTTAAGGCACCAGTCTTTTCGGAGGCGTGGGTTCGAATCCCACCGCTGCCATTTTTTTTTTAAATCTCTGATATGTGTTATAATAATTTGTAGAATTCAATGCCAAATAATATGTTTTCTCATAGAATTTCTTTATTATTTTTCTTTTATTTTTAAACAGAATAAAAAAATATGGAAAATTTGTATGTATGCAATAACTTTTTATAAGTGAATAGATTCAAAATTACAAATATAAGTTCAATATATGCGAGATAAGATTACACTATAATAGCACACACACATACAAAGTTATATAAAATAATTATATATTTATTTTAAACTACACACATGCTATATAACCTCGATAAAAGTATCGCAAAATGGAGGAAACACCGTAATAATGTAAAATAAAGCCCTTCTAAGCCATTTTTTCCTAAAGTCAGCATTCAGTACACCAGACACTGACTGCTGAAACTTGACAGCTTTTGTGTCGTTGAGGAAAACAGGGGTTGGTGGCTTCTTATAGACCAAGTTCTAATAGTTTGCATATACCGAGAGCGTGTAGCTGGGAGGGTTCACCACTGATGAGCCAGACCCCCCCATCAATTTTTCATTGCAGCAAGGAAAGTAGAAAATTTATAATACAATATAATATAATGCGGCTTGTGATTGTAAAACGACATTTGAAAACTATCCCGAATGTGTTTCTTTTCAACGAAAAATCAAAATTTATTTGAAGGAGAAATAACGGCTATTTCTAACCTTTGGGATAAGGTATGAAAGGGTGAATTGTGAAGAGTAATGATAAACAGAAAAATAAAGATATTTTTTTAATTTTAAAGATAACCAGACGCGTCTATAATAGTTTTGATTCTTTCATACTGAGAAGTGTTTCTTTCCTGTATTTCGGAAAGCTTTAGCACAAAATGCTAGGTATTTTATACCCTTACAATATATTCATATTAAAATTGAAACAGATATACAGCTTGCACCACGCTGATGAGGGCCAACCACGCGTACGTGGTTAGCTTTACTTGATTAATCAAGAATGGGTATTTGGTCAATTCTGGAGAATAATAAAAAATGAACGATTAGTTCATATTTATTCCGACAGATGGCGCAAGCCATCAGGCGATGCCGTTTTCCTATAATATTTATTTACCTGATCCTAGTATAATTTCACTTTTATGCTTTTTTCTCCCCATAAAATCTAGTCTTTTTTGTTTTCAGTTTGTCGGTGATCTTTTGTTCGAAATTTTGCGGTTTTGCAAAAAACATCGATTTGGATTCCTATATCTATATTGATTGAGCCGATTACTGCTATGTTTTGGTACATGCGTTTGAAATTACTAATCGGCAAAATTCTATTCTACTCTGTCGTGAAAATATGTTTATGGAAATAAGACCATTAAAAGGGGGTCGATGGAAGGTTTTGACCGCTACGACCCGGGATCGAATCCCGCATTGGACATTTTTTTTCTGATAAAAAAAAAGCTCAAATGGCCCCCGATTCTTGCAAAAGTCCAACCCCACCAGCGAGTGCAAGTAACCAAACGGGGCTTTGTCACATTTGTAAATGCAAATTCGAACTGATTTTCACATGTATAGACATGTGGTGCACTTACAGTAAAAGCAGTCGCCAATTTCTACCCACCATGATTATCATGGCCACCGGTATTTGAGATAATTACACAATTACACACCATTAAAACTATTTTTAATTGAAAAAAAAAAAAAACGAGCCTGCCAGGATTCGAACCTGGAATCTTCTGATCCGTAGTCAGACGCGTTATCCGTTGCGCCACAGGCCCACGTGACTACACTGGAAATTTTAAATATTTAGCTTAGCGGTTTCGCTAATTTAATCTACCAAAACGCTTCTTAAAGCTCTAATACCGTATTGGATCATACTACTTATATATTCTACACTGAAGGGTGGAATCTTAGAAATGGTATTCAAATAAATTATGGATTTCATTGCAGTAATCACAGTAGAAGTTTGTTTTAGGTGTAAAAGAAACATTCGGGCTTAAATGGTATCATTTCCAATAAATAAGTAATTGTTTGATACATTCACATGGGGTACAGGAATGTGAAGTTACATACAGCGGACCCTTCTTGCTATTGAGGACATCTCGGAACTCTTCCGCCCAGAGCTTGCCTTGATGATGCTTATCTTGAACTTACATAACAATGTGGGGATACACCTTTGTACAGTTACTAATAGATCATTGTGCAAAAATGAACCTTCTGTTCCAAAATAACTTTATTAGGTACCGCTCAAAAAGAGCAACCTAGCTTATGTCATTTACAATGAATAATATGAACAGCTTCTTCACGTATAGAAAAAAAAGTGTCCAATACAGGATTCGATTCCGGTTCATGGCTGTCGGGAATCGAGAGTTATAACCACTCGTCCACCGACTTCTATATAAACCAAACCTCTTTTTTATATAAATTGCATAAAAATTAATAAAGGAATATATGTATCTTTAATATTAATTCCAAAATATCAAATTTATTTCATGATAACCATCCATACTAATTTAGAATGTTATGTAAAAAGGCATTTCCTGACCGCTTCAATTTCAAGCTGGTAGAACTCCATCTATAGGAATAAATATCAACTAAACGTAGAATTAATATTTTATTCCTGAGAGAGCCTTGGGTCACATTTATATTGTAGCGGAGTATTATTATTTTACAAGCATTTATTATTTTACACTAGTGTTAACAGAGTATCAATTTTTTATGTTTATATTTACTACTCTGTAAACTTCCCTTATTTCTTATCTTTTGTTTATTTTTCATAATTTGTTCTTGCCTTAAAATGGGCCGGCTGGCCGGCCGGCCGGCCGGTTCTGTCACGGATGCGCGCGCCTCATCATTATGATCATTATCATTATCTAATGATAATAATAATAATAATTATTATTATTATTATATTATTATTATTATCCATCCATTATATATATAGTCACGACCGTCATGGGCCGGCCGGTTCTGTCACGGATGCGCGCGCACAGGGAGGTCACGTGCTCGCCGGCAGCCAACGGGCGCGCGCCGCCGGCATTACGTCATAGATTATAAACACAAGGTAATAAGGCCAAATAAAAAAATAGTGTGTGATAAGGCACAATTTGGATTATCTACTTATATAATTGCCTTATTCTCTCTGTGTGAAGTTCACTGTGTGAAGTTCACGGATAGATTTTGGTCAGAATGGATAAAATAAAAAAAGTGTCAAGGGATGGGAATCGAACCCACGACCTTCCGCTTACCAGGCTTACCTAGGCTACCCTGGACATATTTTTCCGTTCACACTTTTATTTTTATATTTTCAAGACACAGACAGTTTTGGGGCGGGACGTTTCACAAGAGAGACATCCACGGCGCCAATTTATAATTGTAACGAATAGTATTTTAATTAAAACATTTTAAAATATATACGCACTCGGGTAAAACCCGGGCGTTGCCCGGGCCATTCGTCTAGTACAGTGATTCTCAACCACTGTGCCGCGGTAATTTTGTGTGCCGCGAAATTCTAAAAATGTGCCGCCGAATTTTAGTCATATGATTATGTTCACGTTTGTATTGGTTTTTATTTTTTCTTTTTATTTTTTTACTTTTTAAAATAACGAAATTAGCAAATTGAATGTTAGAGATGTATATTACTTATATTTTGCATAGAAATATTGATACATAATTTGAATTTTCTTGCATTCAAGTTAGCAAAAGTGTGCCGCGAATTCTAAAATTGTGCCGCCAAATTTTCAAATCTTTAAAATAGTGCCGCAACAAAAAAAAAGGTTGAGAATCACTGGTCTAGTATATATATATATATATATATATATATATATATATATATATATATATGATGTAAAGAATACCGTTCTCTTTAATTCAATAAAATAATCCCTTGTTTCAATATTAAGGTAAAATATCAGACTCTTCTTTCCAGAGGGAGACGTTTTTTTTTCAAATCTTTAATCTCTAAGTTTATTGTATCGTATCCTGTAGAAGGGTGTTCATGCCTGAAAGATTGAAGATTTTGAAGAGAAAATTTTCCCTGGAAGCCTGATATTTTCACCTAAATACATTTTATAATTTTGAGGAGTCTGTTCGAAGACGCAAACTATAATTTTGTTTACATGGATAATACCCCTCCCACCGGGAACTTATTTAAAATTATACACAAGACAAACGTAAGCATGATATCTGTGTTGAAGAAATGACATTATCTAGCACAAACACACAGAAAAGTTCTAAACACAATATATAAATCATGGATGATTTCAATAAGCTTCTTTATTAAGTTAATATGGCAAGCTCTTTCAGGCGTCATCATTAAACCCAATAGTTTAATCATCAATGTACTGGTACCAATTGTTTTTGCACTTTTTCCTTGAAGCACTATGTAAAAAATGAAATTTAAAGTGGTCACCTTGTTCTATGATCATAATTTTTAAAAATATATATTTTTTTAAATTAAAATAATAATAATAAAAAAAAAGTGCCGAAACCCGGGATCGAACCAGGGACCTTTAGATCTTCAGTCTAACGCTCTCCCAACTGAGCTATTTCGGCTTGATTATTATCTATACTAACATCTTCTATAGCTAGATATTTCTTTTAAAATTATTTTTTAAACAACCAGGCGCGATATTGAAATATTTTCGACTATAATAGAGGAAACAAACAAATTCGAACTTAGAATTAAATATGAACAAATTTACAAGTATTAATCGACAGAGTTCATAAAATTTATAAACAAAGGGGCTGATTAAGAGAGTTAAATCATTTAGATCAGGGAACAATCGATGTCTCACTTCTGCAAAGTTCAGACAGTCATAGATAAGGTGAAGAGCAGTTTGTTCAGTTTCTCCGCAGGAACAATTTGGTGTTTCTGATGAACCTCTTTTATGTAAGTATTTATGGATTTTTCCGTGTGATGTGACAAATTGAGTGGCTATGAAATTTGGATGGAACTATATAGAAATTCCGTTTAGAAAAATAGTGTAAATTTTAAAATTAGCATTATAAATGGATTGATACAAATGATTCATAATAATAGCTTTTTAATCTCAATTATAGTTGTGACGATGACAAAGCCACAAAACCAGCTTCAGAAAACTGAGATGCGTCCACCTAGAGACCTGGTTTCTGGCTAATGTTCCTCGTTAGTCTAGGGCGGACTTTATTACAAGAGATCCACAAGGGATCTAATGGATTCTTCACAATCTTCCAAAGAGGTGTTGAACTGGCAAAGTGGCTAGGTCAAATCTGCGGCCAAAATACTGAAATGGTGCAGCAAACAACATTGTAGAAGAACGGCAGTGAACCGTTAAAGAAGATGTGGGAAAGCCAGTAAAGAAGGTATACAGGGACCCCGCTCCATAAGGAAATGACGATTGACAGATTCCAGAGGAGGGGGCGGCTGACGGGCGGTCCAGCTGGTGCAGTCGTGGGAGAAGAAGCTGATATAGCGGTCGGCCTGAAGACGGGTTTGTGCGCCCGGAGGTCATTCACGGTCTGGGGGAAGAACGTCAGTCTGGTCACATCTGTGGCAAGTAGAAGACGTGGTAAGTTGTCTCCGAGAATGTGACCGTGTGGATGATCCTGCAAGACGGTGCCAGGAGAGCCTAACATCGGAGCGGCCTACAAGGCGGTGAATCCCAGGCTGGACATGTACAGTATGAAGCGGAACGTTTCCCAAGTGTGATATTCACGGCGCCAAGGCTTCTTCTAATGGGGAGGTTGAAAACAAGTTACACTGATTGTACTCCTTCTGTTTAGAGCCACGTATAATAAAGTGCTAACTTTTGCTGCATCCCTTCGAACTCACGAGTGTATATTTGTGGCATCCTGATTAGACAAAAGTACCCGAACAACGTCTGTGTACGACGTAACAAAATAGATGGAAAATTTTCCGGGAGGATATTTGTCTATAAATATAAAGGTCACTTCTTCCGTTAAAATAGACGTCAAAGCTATACGCCATCTATTGATGTTATGGATTTGTCACCGACCCGAGGCCGCTAGTTTGCGGCGACGGTCAATAAATGGCGTCTAGCTTTGATGTCTATTTTGACGGGAGATGGACCTTTATAGATCAATATCCTCCCGGCAAACCTTCCACCTGAATCTTCTATGGCCACTCAGTTTACATGACCGCAAGACAAGCCTCTCTGAAAATTTTGGAAATTTTCGAAATAACGAAAAATCGTAAAGCAATATCAATATAAAACAATAATCCCTATATATATAAAAGTCAGTGTATGTATGCAAGAACAAAATTCTAACAGAAAAACATTCTTTCGAGCAGAAGATACAAAGCCAGATCATCTTTCTATAAAAATATCCCTTCTCAGACACAAGGTTTGGAGCGGGACGTTTCACAAGAGTGACATCCACGGCGCCAATTTATAATTTTAACGAATAGTATTTGAATAAAAACATTTAATCGGGTCATTCGGCTCGTCAAGAATAAATGTAATCAATGTTAAATATTATATAAAAAGCCTTCAATTTCTACGAAAATTCATATATTTTTAGAAAAATAATTCAAGAAAAACTCTGCAGCTACATTTCTTTAAAACAACAAGAAGAAAAACTCTTTGATCAAAACAGTATCAACTGACCCCAAAATGACATAAAATGCATTCTAAATACCCATGTAGGTTTTTAAAATTACAAAATATCTCCTCACAATGAGTATGTGTCGAACCCTTGTAAATACCCAATCCCTATAATTAAGTGAGAGGGATTGTTTATTTTTGAACGATACCTTTATAAAGTTACCTTTAAAATAAAAAAAAGGCATATCCTGACCACGAGTACATGTGCTTTTTAACATAGTAGCGAACTGATTAGATAATAACACACACATCGGCAAGGTTTTTACCCCCTCAGTTTAACAGATGTCATTACCAGGACATCATTTATTTCTATGTCGAGTCAACATAGAAGTAAAACCAGCAAATGTTGAGCCAAGATTATAATGACATCTGTTCATTAGGAAAACCATTTTATAATTCCATAATTCTTTTAATTGTGAAGATCAAAAAGCACATTGAAGACATGCTTAGGTCGGAGCATCCAAAAATTGCTCACACAACGACAGACAGGTATGGGATCAAGTTCTTCCAAAATTCGAGCTATATATTAATTTATCTGTATAATTCAATAATCTGTTTCAAATATCATTATGCGCTCTGCCATCTAAAAATCTCATGTGAGGACTTGCCTTTTTTGATTAAGAGAAGAGGGAAATATTTAGTAAACACCTATAAAAATCGCTAATTAGTTGCTGCATATTAAATCACATTAGGTTCGAAATTTATGATGAAGGTCCCCCGCTGCTTTTATTTTTACTCATATGAATCTAATTGTTCAATGACAGAAGCTAATATATATAAACATTTTAAATTTTTAGTGCATTTAAATAAAAGCTTTTTTCAAGATTTTTTTTTATTAATTAAATATTTTGATCGATTTATGTTTACTCCCATTAAACATTATGCGTAAATTTTATTAGCATCCTTTTCTTACTGAAAAACAAACATTAATCTAGTACTTGGTTAACTACTGAACCAATTGGTAACAAATTTTGCATGTCGCTTTTTATAAACCTGAGGAAAATTTTCGGCTACATTTTGATTAGTATTTTTGGCTATTTATTTTTTTCATTTGAAGAACTTTTATACGCGGAGTAAATACGAGGCGAAATAACAACACCAGGTCAATTAAGCGACCAATGAGCGTTCTGCATTTTTTTTTTCAAGTTGCTTGCGTACTTTTTTTGAAATATCTTTTTATACGAGTCTTACTTTTTTTACAAAAGAATTGAATATTGAGAGAGAAATTTATATTACTAGGTTACGGTAAGTGCACACAATGCAATTAAAAAAAAAAACTTTACAAAATTAGCGTTACTGTATGTACATAATGGCTTTCGTATTTCTTATTAATTTTTGTTCTGGCCTTTGTTTTATTTAATCTCTTTTTTAAAAAATGTTTAAAATGCAGTCGCAGTCATCAGCAAACACATATGTTTGTCTAATTTCCATGTGCTCTTTTTTTTTAACAGAAAAATATTTACATGCCAGTATTTTGGATTAATTATTTTTATTAACCTATTTTTCTTATTCTTACTGAGAATATGGGCATCGTAGTCAAGATGCATATCAGTCACTCACTCAACTCAGGCAATTTCAAGGGTTTAATGCGCTGGGGCGGGTACCTCGGGGGTTGGGGGGAAAAGCTGTCATTTATTTAAACTATATTGATTTTGAAACAACTAAATG